GCCTTTGCGATATGCTCACTGATTGTTTACGGAACTCACTCGTCCCGTTGTGCTGATGACGGCTAATAAGCCAGAAATTGCCATTAAATTCTCCCCTTAGTCTTTGTCGGTAGTATCTTTGTGCCTATAATAAGAACAGTTTCCATTCTTTCCTTCTCTTTCACATTCAGTTTGCAATGTGTGCTAGCGCAAGAACCTCCGAAAACAAGAAAAATTCCCGCCCTGTGTGCACACATTTTCCGGTTTCCCAATCGGAAGGAGATTATTTCGGCTCACTTTGCCACACACAAAACCAATATTAGGAAACAGGTAGTGTGATAGTGTCGCCTAAACCTATGACTTACAGAAGGTGCAAAATGGCAACCACAGACCGGACTACGAGCAACGGAGGCTAGGGTTTCCAAAACGCTGAAGTACACTGAATGAACCACAAAGGACCTTGATGATGGGCCAAAAGTCCAGAACGTAAGGAAAACATTCCGCTTTCCATGAACTGCTGAATAATGATTAAGTTGGCACCTCGCATTCGAAAGAGGTTTGCACCGTAACCTGGGCCGTTAGTGCCAAACAGTGAAGACCAACCTAGGACTTTGGAAGGCCAAAAGAGTCTTCAAAAATTTACTGCTCTGCTCTGGATAAACCCCGTTTCGTCAATTTCTTCTGACAGACTGTGACCCACTGTGTCACTATAGGATTTTGAGTTGCGCCTATTCCAGTAATAGGTTAGGTTCACGCAAGAATTCGTTGCCCAATTAAGGACTCATCGAGACTCTGCGCAGCCCAACAAACAGGTACCATGAGACAGTATTGTACACTCAACCCCTATCCTCATCAAAACCCCATCCACTTTGTCCTTTAGAATTAGTATTCGCTATTGGGTTAATAGGATCGTACAAGTATTTGTTGGCGTAATAAAAATCGGAAAGCCAGCAGTTCGGTTCACAGGCGACTCACCTGGCGCATCCAGCGTTAGAAGCAAGTATACTTAGCATAGGAAACACGGAATCACGAAAACATTCAGAACAACCCACCAGAATATGACGACTTCAAAGTCCAACTGGGGGCGGTGGTGTCGACTGAGTGTGGTGAATCCGCCCTCATGCAGCCGAAAGAGCACACGACCACGAAGGCAGCGAAAGCGCAGTGCGAAGGTGAGACCACAGAGAGGACAGTGGTATCTTCGCAGACCCACACCCCGATTGAAGCGCTCACCCAGAGTTCGTTCACCCTCACTGGCATCCGTCTCTGCCAGCCGTTGGCTGTCCCGTAGCAGACACAGCTCCTTCTGACAGACGGCGACCAGTTGCAACAGGAAGGTGTTTGTTGCGGAGCCAAAAGACGCCACTGAAGTATCCGACAGCTGACAGGAAGAAAAAGTAGAGTGTAAACGGTAAACCTAGTAGGATACAGTACCTAGGCTTCGTACCAGGCAAGAAAATTCATTCTTTTCGGATCGTGAGCAATCTATATTGACAGAAAAAAAAACGTGCTCAAAGGAGTGGAAGATCACTAAGCAGAAGATTCGTCGACACCTGTGAATGCCAGTAAATACAGGAGACGGTTTGGGGCCAACAGTAACGACGAGAAACATGGTTGACACAACTTTCTTGTTGTATTCCCGACAGAACATGGTCTCTGCGCAGGATACCAAGTGGAATTTGCTACTGTTTGGAAAAAAAGTGCGTCGCAACCCTTCGATGGCCCAAAACCCAATTAGGCCGACTAAGAGATACTTTCCTACAGTTAGTGGATTCGAGGGTGGACATTGTCGTTCACCTCTTCAGTACACTAGCTGAAGGGTCTATCGGGTCTACCCGTTGATGGCTCTGCTATAATGGCAGGCTTCCAGCGTCTTCACCAGAGAGCCGTTGTCGAAGAAAAACGAAGCTTCCAGCCCTGGTCCTTTTGGGCGACTACCCACCTCCGATTGCGGCCTCCGAACAACAACTCCCGAGGGTCACTCGATGTACCTTGGCTAAACTATGCAGTAGCTACTCAATGCTCCTTCGCCACTACCAACATCGGCTTGACCTGTCCACACCCGACAACAGCGTTTCTCCACACGACTGTCAGCATCTATTCGCCTGCAGTTCCCAGCCAGGCACCCAACTCATCCCCGCGGACCTCTGGCTCAAGCCGGTCGAGGTATCGGCTTTTCTGTGTCTTCGAACTACAACCAGTTTGGATTCCATCGAGGACTCCTGATCCAACAATGGCTACGAAACACACACACACACACACACTAGTTCAAGTGTAAGCTGTGACCAGATGGTGTATGATGAGGTGTAGGACATAGAGGTTCAGGCTGTGTGAGCTGGAATCTGAGCTGCTGCTCCTGTCCTATTGTTGTCGTGCTAAAACCGTCGCCAGGTGTTTTTTGTTGTTGAAAAGGAGCGTGATAGGACGCGTAGGTGCAGAATCACGCCGCGCCAGCCACCTGCGCTTCATCGCTGACCGATCAGGGCACGGCAGGTTATGACAGTACGTGCGTGTGTTTCACATGTGCCTAACCTCGCCTCCGTTCTTCTTCACTCTGTTATGATACCGGCCACAGGCGCATGAGTGAAGAGGAAGAAAGTAGGGTAGATAAGACGCAAGTCTACCATCGCTTAAAACTAACTAACGCGCAAGTCACAACGTTTGCCTTCAGTCCACTGATGCACACTACGAACATTATCAGATTCGACGATCGAACTGCCCCGCAAACTGTCCCGGACAGCAGACAAGGTCTTATTTAACAAGGGCTAGCACCTTGCATCCAGTACTAACAAAATAGCTAATGCACTAGGTACCCAACGTTGCTGTGGGATCAGCGGCCGTCTATTCATAGGATGTGGGAATCAACTTATTTTGCAGTTAGCTTACACTGAAAACAGCCTTCCACTATCCTTAATTCGTCAAAGACTCACAAACAGACCAACGGCAGGCACCGTCTTCCTCGCAGACAATGCGTCTGTCACG